GACACATCTCGATCGAAGACCTGACCAAAGCAATTCTTGTAAGGGCTGAGCTAATTACACGAACCTGGAAGCATTATAGTAGCCGAATCAGAGCAAATACATCAGCAAATATCACCTGTATTCAATCCCTTAGTATTTTTCAGTGTGTTAGCTTGATATGTCTCGTTGAGATGTCATAAGCTTTAACTATCAATCAATCCTTTGGCGTGCCTCTCCCTCCTGCTAGTCGATTTGCAATATTGCGAATGATATGCTTCTGATACTTTCCGCTTCCCGTCTTGGGCAACTCAGCATCCACGCCATCGTGGCCAAGCCAAAAGATAAATGCCGGCACCTTGACTGGGCTCAGATCCTGCAAAACCCAATCCCTGATATCTTCATCTGATGGCTTCTTCGCTTGTGAGCAAGCCTGTAAAAAAGCTGCGACGACTTCACCATGCATCTTATCCTTGACTGCCACCACGCATGCTTCTCTGACTGCGGGATGACGCAGCAGCTGGTTCTCAATCTCGCTGGGAGACAGGTTCTCACCGCCGCGGATGATTAGGTCTTTGATGCGGCCAGTGATGAAACCGTAACCTTGTTCGTCCAAGTATCCCTCGTCGCCGGTATGCATCCACAAAACACCATTCTCATCATATCTCATTGCTTCCTGTGTCTTGATCTCGTCTTTGTAGTATCCCTTTTGCAAGGCAAACCCACTAGTGCAGATCTCTCCGCGCTCGCCGATGGGAACTGTGTGTCCCTTCGTGTCCACTATCTTAGCTGCGGTATGGGGAAGAACTCGACCGAGGCTGGTCAGCATCCTGTCATCAGGGTCGTCTAGGGAAGTAATGAATGTCACAGGACTCGTCTCAGTCATTCCATATGCTATAAGCATACCCTGGACATTCATCTTGGCTCTCAGTTCATCCATCAAACTAGGCGACACTGGCGAGCCAGCAACGAGACCAGTGCGCACGGTTGTGATTTTCCGAGGCTGGGATTCCATTTGTTCGAGCTCCGATATGAACATTGTGGGGACGCCGAGTAGTGCAGTGGCCTTTTCTGCCTCAACTGCATCGAGAGTCTGCTTCGCGTTGAATCTGTCCGATGGAAACACGATAGTGCTACCATGGGTGAAGGAGGCGAGAAATCCCATGACCAGACCGAAACAGTGGAATAGAGGGGGTGGACAACATACGACGTCATCTTGTGTGAGTCTCATGGCATGTCCAACGTATCTGCCATCGTTGAGCAAGTTGCTGGAATGACTTGTCAGGAGATTGAAGGTTGCTTGACAAGAAGGGGGTTCTTACTTGTGTGTGAGCATGGAGACTTTCGGAAGGCCAGTAGTACCTTAGAACATGTCAGCGACTGAATAGCAAGCCGAATAGCTATCTTTTTAATGCATATCATCTCACCAGAAGTAAATTGCATATTCAAGACATCAGTGGGTTGGACACGAGTCTCGGCTCGCTCAAGATATTCGTCCGTTATAGCTCCGTTAGTGCCGTCATCTAGGAAGTCTTTGTATCTATGACAGTTAAACAACTCCCTTGAAGGAGATCTGTCAAACATAATAAGCTGCTCCAGACTTGCGCCGACTTCCGTTGTCGTAGCAACTTGGTAAACATGATCATCCGTCTTTATCGATCCAATGGAGGACGCAATAAATAACGCCCTACAATCTATGAAACAAAGTATTAGAGTTCTGCAAGATCTATGAGTTCGGCTGACTAACCGCTACGAGCCACGGCAGAGCAAAGCTCATGAGGTGAATTTGTTGTGTTGAACACCACAAAAGGACACCCAATTCTAGCAGATGCCAGAAATAACTCGATGTACTCAAAGCGATTGCCAGCAAATATTCCAACAGCATCGCCATGCTTCAAGCCTGCATTGAGGAGGGCTTTAGCGGCAATAGAGCTGCGGTGCTCAAGGTTCTCATACGTGAGTCTGGTGTTTTGCCATGGTATAACAAGTGCAGTTCTTTTACCACGCCGCTTAGCTTGCTCTTTGACCAGGTTTCCTAGAGTTCTGTTCCAAAGTGGAGGGCTGATGGGACCTTGGACTATAGAGAGCCTTGGAGCTCGTGTGATCAGAGGTATGGGTTCATGTGGGTCAGACCAGATCGGCTGCGCAGATGTCGAGTAGGATATGGCCGGAGTGAGACGTAGGATAAACGGACGAGATAAGTTCATGGAGGTGATCACCCCGAGGCAAGAAGGAAAGGGCCTGCGTCTCATTATTGGGAGAAGTACCGAGACCATCTTTAATTGTTAGCGGTGAGTTTTAACCAAGAGCTGTAGAACGAAGATAAATCATTGGATTTCTAGATAGCACTGAGGTGTCGTGGATACCCGCGTCTTGGACGATTTATCAGCCGTCTCCCGGGACAGAGCAACGGCACATGACGAACCTTGGATAACGAACCCGGGCATCGGACCGAGCGGGGACTCATTAACCGGTTCCTTTCAGCGTCCCTGCCCAGAAGGCCTAGGCTGCTAAACCAGACGAGGACCCGTGTGGCATCTTTGGTTGAGTCTTTTATTCGACATCAATGTCAGACCTGAAGCATTGCAAAAGTTATTCCTTAATATAGTTCAGCGCAGCCCTGAGCCAAGGATTTGACAATGTTACTACACTTCACAAATATAGAGAGGATTGTGGAATTCGAAAAGATCACGACTTCCAGTGATACTCTTTGGAGCATCGATTGTGTGATCACATAGAGAGTAGCTGATGGGATCCCGTTTCACTGGCACAATTGAGGACATTCCACAGCGATCAACCAGACAACATCAAAGTAATAAGGACAATAAACGACAAAATCCTTCCCTACAAGCATATATCACTACGAGACGACATTCTTGTTCAGACACAAGGTCTGAACGTTACAAAAGCCCTTCAAACCATTGGCACCCCATTCAGTTCCAATACCACTCTCTTTGTGACCGCCAAATGCTGCCATCGGAGTCAAGTCAAAATGAGTGTTAACCCAGACATTGCCAGCTTGAATCTCTCGTGCAATGCGGTGAGCACGACGAATGTCATTACACCAAATAGAGGCCCCGAGTCCCATGGTCGTATCGTTTGCACGCTCGATTACCTCTTCCTCACTACTCCACGTCAGAAGTGGCACAATTGGTCCTAGAGCGCATCATTAGTCCAGTTCAATACCAGGTCAAATGCCTGAGTCTTACCGAATGGTTCTTCAACAACGATGCGGGAGGTCTCGGGGGGTACATCGATGATAGTAGGGTTTACGAAATACCCCTCAGAAGAGTCAATCTTGCCGCCGACAGCAACGTTCCAGCCCTCCTTCTCAATATCCTCAAAGAAGCCTTTCACACGCTTGAACTGAGGAGCATTCTGCAACGGGCCATGCGTTACACCTTCCTTGGACCCATCGCCCAAAGTATAGCTCTTGACATGTTTGACGAGTGCCTCTTTAAATTGGGGATAAATGCTCTGGTGCACAAAGATTCGCTTGAGATTAAGGCAAATCTGACCCGAGTTGAGGAATGCGAAAAAGGCCACTTTCTCAGCAGTCTTGTCGATATCGACGTCTGGAAATATGATGGCTGGATCATTGCCACCGCTGACCGAGTTAGCGATCATAGAGGGCTTGAAAGGTCATAGGAGGCTTACAGTTCCAAGGTCACGCGTTTCAGCGTGGAGCTGGCGCTTCGAAGAACAGCTTTTCCTGTCGTCGTTGACCCTGTGAAGCTGATCTTGTCAACTCCAGGATGGCTAGTCATCCAAGGCCCGAGTTTATCATCGCCGCTCAGCGATTGAACCACGCCAGGCGGGAAAAACTGCTGTGCAAGCTCAACCAGCTTGAGACCGCCATACGGAGTAAATGGCCTTCATTAACGCGGCATTAGTCAGAATCGGCGGACTTCCAAGGGGGACACTTACGATGGCTTTACGATAATTACGTTCCCGGTTAGCAGTGCCGGGGCGATTTTACCTGTGGCAAGCAAAAGAGGGAAGTTCCAGGGCACGAGAGCTGCAACGACTCCAATAGGGGTGTAGCGACTGATGATAGTGCGTTGCTCAGTGTCTTCAAGAACATCCTCTGGAAGAGGAATCTGAGCCATACCACGCATCCATTCGATAGCAGCGTCAGTCTCATACGCAGCTTGAGGAATCTAACAGCATCAAATTCATAAGCATCAGATTAAGCGCTGTTTCGTCAATGCTTACCGGCTTTCCTTGTTCAGCTGTGAGGAGAGCCTGAAACTCGTTACGATGAGAGTCCACGGCATCAGCAAACGCAAGAACAGATTCGCGACGCTCCTCGTAAGGAGTCTTGCTCCATGTCTTGAAAGCCTTCTTCGCTGCTGCGACCGCACGATCGAGATCCTGCTGAGTCGCTACAGGGACTTTGTCCATCTCCTGTAGGTTTGCAGGGTTTAATCCATGTCGAGTTTCTTTGGTGGGGGCGCTTTGTCCGTCAATGATTTGCACAAAGTCACCTTTGAGGTTGATGCTAGGCTTGGTCATTTTGGCAATCCTTACGGTGCTAAAGTTAATTAGAGGTAATTAAAAGAAAATTAGATATGATTGTTAGTCGAGATTTCGTTCAAGTAACGGCCATTTGACGCTGTTGTCACTTATGCAACGAATCTTAGAACCGGACCGTGACACTGACAGAAACAGACTAGCGTGTTTTCAGTCGGACGCTACGGTCCGATAATGTGGGGCTACTGACCAAAGTCCTTAACCGAGGCCAATACCGAGTCAACGAACGAACTAGACTACGGAATACTCGATTCAGCTTTGCGCTGTGAAATGTACAGGCATTTTGGCATGATCTCTAAGTTGCAAGCTAGAGGTTTTCTTTGTAGCCGAGACTTGCGGCTCAAAACTTGAATCAGCAGAGAGAATCCGAACTTAGAATAACTCGATTGTTGATCGATTTCGACAAGCTCTTAATAGGAACAGTCTTCGCGAGTGTTTTTGTGCCATTGCGTCAATAAGCTCACAAAGCCTTACTACCATTTCATTTCTATCTAATTCTCTACTTTGAAAACCGTAGCTAGCCTATTCCGTAGCCAAAACCCATTCAGCGTCAAGAAGATCGACGAGAAAGACATGCAAGCAGCAGCGAGCGGTCTACATAAACACTTGAGTTAGCACTGTTGAATACAGCTATAAGATTTCACTCACGGTGTTAGGACAATGCCACAGGGATTGAGGAGCCCAGAAGCCATGCTCAACGCAAGGGCATTGTAGCCAAAGACCCATAACAAGTTATACCGAATTTGCTTCATGGTCAGTTCTGCGATTTCGAGCAACATGGGTATAGAGTCCAGTCGCGAGTTGAGAATGAAGACAGTTGCACCCACTGTTGGGGTAGCAACGTCGTGATAGAGAGCGATGCCAACGTCGGCCGCTGCTAAGCTCAAGCCATCGTTCAGTCCATCGCCAATCTAAGAGCCTTGTTAGTGTGGATGTCACTAGACCCGGGTGAGTTACTTACCATTGCAACAGCGACCCCCTCCTTCTGTAGTTTCTTGATGAGATCTAGCTTATCTTGAGGCGTTGCTTCAGACGCGAGGACCGGTATTTGCAGCTGCTGGGAAATACGATGTGCCGATTGAGGCATGTCGCCAGTCAACTACCAACGTCAGTCAAATATTCCCTCGCGTATACGCCAAGTAATTACCAAATGCGTTGAGTGACCCGTCGTATGGAGTCGTTGGATGGTATTCTCTGCATCATCTCGAACAGCATCCTAGAAAGGTTAGCAGGTGAAGTGTATCTTTCTCCGACTGGCATTACCGTCACATAGAGAGTTCCAGCATATTTACCGTCAATAGCGACGTATACTGCTATCACACCACTGTGTCCATTAGACATCACTGAGAAATCGCTCACGCCACAGGACAACAAGTACCGCCTGCTCCCAATATCAACACGTCGCCAGAGTTCTTGGCCCAAAGAGACCTCCCCTGAAACGCCCTTACCCGATTCACTTGTAATGTTTCGCGTTTCCACAAACGCTTTCGTTTCTAACCAAGGGCCATCGAGATGACTCACGCCAGCGGTAAAGACTGCTCTACCGATCGGATGACTCGTGACACTGCGCTCCTCTACAGCACAGACATAAGTCCAGAACTCTGTGATTGGCTTCTTCCATGCATTGGTTGTTTCGAAGTCTGTAATATCCAGCACTGCCCGTGTCAGAGTTCCAGTCTTATCGAACACGATGGACTGAATGTTGCTGAGTTTCTGAATGGTTTTGTATCCCTTAGTGATGAGAAGACCGTTTTGACTTGCTATGCCTAAAGGATGGAATCGTTAGTACTTCAGCAAACAAGACTAGCAGTCCAAGCGTAAGCACCTACCTACAGCTGCAACTGCTGCTGAGGGGATGGCTATCCCCAAGGCGCAAGGACATGCGCAAGTGAGTATTGTCATCGCTCGGGCCATCGAAACTCGAATCGTGCCATATCCCAGCGATTCGTAAGATGTGAAGATATCCTTAAGCGGAACAACTACTGCCAGTGTCATGACAAACCCTACCAAGTATTTCGTCACCATATCGACCGTGCGGTTATCTTCGTCCTTTGAGCTTGCTGCCTCAACGGCACCATGCACAAGCTGGGAATATAATGAATTTCCCTGCTCTTTGTCAACACCGGCCACCAGTTCCTGTCCTAAGTTTCGTGTTCCTCCCAGAAGAAAGTCCCCCACGGATTTCTTGATTGGCAGTGCTTCCCCTGTGATAAGGGCTTGGTTAATGGAAGATGTTCCCTCTGTTATGTAGCAATCACATGGGATGATGGAATAAGGTGGGATGACAATTTGGTCGCCGGCCGTGAGATAGCTTTGAGGGACAGTCTGAAGTTGATCAGCAAGTGAAACTATCAACTCTTGGTAAGTGTGGACATCATACCTTTCCAGTGGGGTGAAGTCTTGTGTAGTTGCTCTGTGTAAGCGGCTTGTACACTCTCAGTAGATCCTCGGATGTCGTCCGGCGTGACATGAGTTCAATATATCTCCCAGCTACCACCACAAGAGCCAAACCAATGACGGTCGTGTAATATGAGTTCGCAACGGCGGTTCCACATGCCAACAAATCGATAAACGAGATAAAAGTCCCAAGAGAGATGGAGGACGATACCAGGGTGTTCATGTTAGGTTGCCCGCGACAAATCGCATTCCAGCCATCCTCATGAATCCACGGTATATACCGCCATTGCGCAAACAGAGTAAGTGCTGCACATAGCAGATGCGCTATGAAAAGAGTGACCGATGGTAAGCGACCATGTCCAACAGAGATAAGGAAGCCAACTGTCTGTATCACTGTTGCACACCCAGCCAGACTGGACAGACTTGATTTGAGCCTAGCAATCTCTTCTTTGGACTTGAGAACACGGATTATCTCCTGAGGTGATCGCGGTCCAAGCTCAACGCCGTATCCCAAATCAGTAACGAGTCTCATAATTGATTGACTGTCAAAACTCGAGGTCTTTCCAATCAACGTGGCCTGTTGCAAAGCCAGCGACACTCGTACTTGGTCCACATCAGGGTGGCTTCTCAGTGCTGACTCAACTGCGCTTGAGCAAGCAGAACAAGTAAGTCCCGACAGTGACAGGACAAGAGAAGCGTTCCGTTTATCACATTCCTTGTATTCACCATCCGCGAATTTGGTGTCGGGATAGGGAAATTCGGGTTCGTCTTCGTTATATCGAATGGCATCGTCGACGTCAAGGAATTGGTAGACTTTGACCAACTGGCTAATGCAGAACGCGGCGATATAACAACAAGCCATGGTATTCGTTGATTGACTTAACCTATAGCATGTGTAGACCACAGATAGTGGAGTGAGCGTTGGTGCTGGTGGTCAGATAATAGCTGCCCTGGCACGGGTTTTCATTTTAGGACTAGCCTGAGTGCGGACCGTAGGCCGCACGCGGGGCAGGCAGGGAAACAACAAGAAATATCAGTATGAGATATGCAGCTAAATTCCCAGAAAGCTCAATAGCTTGAAGATATTTACAAGAACAGAGGTCCAAAAACTAGAGGCGGTTTATTCTGGATGAAATAATTATGGTATGGAGCTCTGAACATCCGGTAGCACAACGGTTTTGAGTCGTCAGGCTTTACTGGAATATATTTTCACATAGCTATACATGAAATCTTAGAGATACATAACAAGTTCTTTATATCATAAAGAAATATTTCCTGGCTAGACATTGTGTGTAAGGAGGTAATCTTTGTCTATTCTATCAATTTGCTAAATATCATGGATAGTCGTCTAAAAGACGGGCTTACCCTGGACTTGTGCTATCCACGGAAACATTGGAATCTAGTCCTGATTTCAACCATGTAGGGTCGCTGAGACGTCAACGTTACATAACAAGGATAATAAACTTCCAGTCATTGAGTTCATACCCTGTTATATCTTAGCGACCCCGTAACTCCGGGGTAAGTCTCCACTAGGATCAACCAAAACAACGCAAACAACCATAGAGTGCCAACATGCTAAGCCTGATGAGTTAGCGAGCTCCTTACCCCGCTCCATGATAGCTCATCTCCCCAGGCCAAGTTCCGTGTCACGGGCAGCCGGCAGATGGGGCAGGGGGGGAGGTACGTAGGTAGGGCAAATGCGCAGACTGGATACACTTCGTTATCTTCCTTCTCATCCCGCAATTCGGACCGCATTCTACCTGCTCCAGAGCAATGTCAGCAGCACCATCGTCCAGCGTCGAGCCGCAAGCTCATGCCCCTGTGAGCAGTAGTGGTATACGCCGTATTCGGCAAGCATGCACCAGCTGTCGGTATGGGCCCTGTCCTCTCCAACATCAGCACCTTCTGTGGATCTCTCGGTCCGTCATGTTACACCACTCACCCACTCACCTCTGCGAACGCGCCTGAAGCATGATCACGATACTGACGTGGAAACAAACCACAGACAGAGAAAAACGAAATGTTCGGGAGATAAGCCGCGATGCAACAATTGCCGACGTGTCAATCGCTCGTGCCAATATGAGGCGTACTCAGCGACGATGGCTTCTGTAACTGCAAACCCGCTTGCAGCTCTGGCTCCTCAGTTTGGTCATGTATAGCCTGCAACAAGTGTCGCGTAACGATGCCATGACTGACTCGACGATAGCCCGACCTTTTGCAGAGATTGAGCACGATTGAAGCTCAGTTGGCCAAGTTGAGTGAGCAGGATGGTCCGGAACAAAGGTACGCGCGGCTACATAACGCGTTTGTCGCCGAAGAATCTGTTCACTAAGGGTGTTAAACTCACAGGTTCGACTTCAATCAGCCGTTTCTGCCGCAACAATGCGACGCGCCTGTTTCTCCGACCCAGCCTCGTTCATCAACATACATAGGTAATGGCTCAGACGGTCAGCGCCGGCTCTCAGACGCAGCGTCTTCATCCCCAGATCAAGCCGAGTCCATCACGCCGTACGTACCTGAAAACATGCTTCCCTACAGCTCATCGCAGTCGCTAACCATCAACCAGGCCCTTTAGCACAATGCCACCAGACGATGTAGTGCAGCATCTCGTCGATACCTACTTCACCCACGTCCACAACCAACCGTACGCTTATTTCCAAGAAGAGCACTACAGACAGCTGTTCAGCTTCATGCTCCTACCAAAGTGCCTCACATTTGCCATCCTGGCGTCTTCGGTGAGATTCTCGGATCACGAATACTTCTCAGGACGCACCCATGACGCGATGGAGGGATACGCGAGACAAGCTTGGTTGTGCGTGTTGAGCGACCATTTGACTGTTGAGAATGAACCCAATTTTCACGTGGCGCAGACTACTAACATCCTGGCTATTATTGACTTTACAGGTGAGTCAGAACGCCATTCCCCAGAAAGTAAATATTGGCTGATACTTGACAAGCTGGTCGAACAAGCTCTGGGTGGTTAAAGATTGGCCTTGCAGTACGGATCTGCCAAGATCTTCAACTCATGAACGAACCAAATCCCATGCTCCCGATTGTTGAACAGGAAGAGCGAAGACGCGTCTTCTGGTCTGTCTACCTTCTCGATAAACTCGTGTCCTGCGGGAGAGCACGTCCACCGGCAATCGCCGACGAGGATTGTCATGTCCAACTGCCCTGCGAAGAGGAAGTGTTCAGAACTGGCACTTGGAAACAAACCCCCACGCTCCACAGACTTCTGAACTGGGATGCTGATCTTGGTGAGATCCGTGGATACTTCACCCTCGCCATTCTCGTCGCTTCAGCTTTAGGGCGATGTGCCAGATATGTCCTTCATCAACGTGAGATAGACGACACGTTACCTTGGGACTCCAGATCAGAATTTGCAGCAATCAACTCGTTCCTCCTGCTGATCGAGCAGCATCTCCAGGTTGAAGAAGTCCCCATCCAAGACATCATATCACAAAACAAGCTTCCCAATGGATCGCCGGACCATCAGGTTGTTGGACACGCCGTATTTGCTCGCATCGTCTTCCATCTATGCCACTGTCTCATCAGCCACCCATTTCTCCTCGCACTGCGTCTACAGAACCTGAAAGTGAAAGCACCGGCGAGTTTCTTGTCCAGAACTTATGAAGCTTGTTGTGACCACGCGTCCAAGATCCCGTCTCTGCTACACCGTGCGCAAGAGGCGGGCTGTCATGTCGATGCTTCATTCTATGCTTACTCGACATGTGTTGCTGGCAGCATCCTCTCCATGTTCATTCACGGGAAGGAAAGCATGGGACAAGTTCCATCTCAGCAGCTTTTGGAATCTGGACAACACTCATTAGAAATTCTAGACAAAATGGGTCATTTCTGGGACCACGCGGCCAAGATGGTGAGTGTCACGGCTGGTCAAATCATTTAGACATAACTGACTCATTTCACAGCACACTCAACTCCTCAACTTCGATACCCATTCCCAGGATTTCGAGAAGATGATTGATCCACATGCCGTTTTCGACATATCGCCTGATCTGGAAACAGTTCTATGGTCCATGGTTGATTACGGCTCCATGTGCGGCAGCTCAAGAACAAGATCCATTAGTCCCGGCGATGGTCAATTTTCTGTCAACATGAACTCACCTTCATTCTTCAACTTTGACGTGAACATGACGCCACGGTCGTTTGAGCTGTCTGGAGTTGAAGGCATAAATGGAGCTCGTCACACCATGAGATCTTACGTCATGAGCTGATACTGTCTTTTGCTTTACTGGATTATTGGACACTTGATGTATTTTAGACACTCCAACATACTTTGGTATACTCTCATGTGTGGGGTACAATTACTTGTGTGTTATCGCAAATCTGGTTCCTGGCTTCTTGTTGAGAAAGCTGGATGGATCTTGTTCAAGAAACGGTGTGAGATGGTGTTTCTGTTTTCATGTTCTAGGAAGGGAACTACATCAGTCAATATGGAAGCTATCGACTCGCACTAGTCTCCATCGATGTATGTATCGTCCTCAACCATAATTGCCTACATATAATTGTGGAGCAACGAGGCTTTTCCATTTCCCGTAGTCATGATGTCTCTACCTCAACAGGATGTGTCGATACATACTGCACAGCACGATTGGTTCCACCTTTTAATGTATCAACTAACTATGATCCTTAAAACTAATTGAGACAACCTTCTCGTCGTTTGCTATTCGAATCTCAGCCTTTTTCACCATCGTCTTATCTGCGTCCAGAAAGGCATGCTTGTGAATACCGGCATCATGTCATTTGTTGCAATAGACGACTTCAGCTGGTCTTTTGTGTCAGGCCCATTTCTCTTTCACTCTTACCTTTGATAACGGATGATAGATCACCAACAGGAATCTGAATCGGAAAGTCGACAATGGCAAGTAAGATAGCGAGGAGGATATACCACCCGGCAAACGATGTCACCAAGAGTAGTGCGCCGGCACCCTGTGGCGAGTTAGGAGATAAAAGCTAGGTAGAGCGATGCTATATCACAGAACCTACCACGCATAACCGTTGAGCCAACAACGTGTTCCCAGTATAGTCATCTGCCCAGGCCCAAAATGCTCCGAGGAGGCATAGCAGAGCTGGGACAAGGGTAACAAAAATCACAACGAAGACGACGTTCGTACGTAATGCGCAGATGAGGTAGATGATTGACAATATTGTCATGGCCAGCAAGAAGAAGCCTTCCCGAACTGTGTCAGCGCAATACAAAGCAGGGTGAAATGGGAGGCAAAGGTCGGAAAGACTTACCTAAGCTTGCATTGAAGCCTCTGGTAGCCATTCCTTCAGCAGGTGACTTTGCATCTACTGGTGCATATGAAGAATATGCGGCGAAGGATGGATGGAGGATCCCACCGAATGAGAGATAGAAAAAGCCGAAGCTTGTAAAGACACAAGAAGGAAAGCTGTTGCCAAGGATCCACTCCATGATCCCGCTGATTACCATGAGGACACCGCCCTCGAAGAAGTAGACAGGGCTTCAAGGGTATTAGTTTACCACCATGAATGTAATCTACGGAGGGAAGATCAACTTACATGGAAGCTGCACCAAAGTGGCTAGCACCGCGCCAACCCATCAAGTCACACGAAAGAGGCATCAAAGCTAGCAAGAATCCCGCGAGTGCTCTATAATATGTCGTCAGCTGTGCTCATCAGGCAGTCATCTACAGGGTGAGCTAACAGAGGCGTCGGGTTTCCAAACGTCTTCCTCAGATCACCCTTGACAGCATTGGGGGGCGCAAGGTAGAGCTTCTCAAAGAGCTCAGGGCTCATCGAGATACTAGCTGCTGATCGGATAGCATGAAGAGCTTCATGGTGGCCTACTTCGGGATCACTGCTGTTACTCGAGGGCTTTGTCATGGCGATGCAGACGTATGCTTGTGGCTATGGTGTTGATAGGAGAAGCACTGGGTTGGGAGAGTATGTATCATAATAGAAAGGGTTTGAAGGCTTTATGCTAGGAACGTGTCATTCTCTTAGCTACCTGACCAACCTGAATACCCGATATTCTCGCATCAAGCCTTGTCTATAGGCTCTGCACTGTATTGGTTGCCATGGCACGGCATTTCGGTCCTGATTCGGTAAATCATAAATCGGATGGGCGAACCTACCACGATGCCGGACAAAGAACTTGATGGAATGTACCGCATTAGCGTCCGGACCGACGCTGCCTGGTTTGCATCATACGCGGGGGACGCGGGGTAGCACGAGTTGTTTCACCAGAACAAGCAAGGATCCCTTGATCTGATACCCGAATCGACGGACCGTGGATTGACGAAGCCTAGGGGTGCGTCGGAATGCCCCAGACTTCAGTCACTTCCCCAGCTTCACAATCTGGGGTATTAATCTTGTGTAATAGAAGTTCTATAGCACATAGCCCTGATTAGGACGAGTGAGGATTGATTTTGATTACACCACGAGCTCGATTGAACTTGACGACCTAGTAAGACTACAGATCTAATTTCTGCCAATAATGGCACTTTGGGCTGGTGATACCTGTAAAATGGAAATTATAGAATGGCTCAAAGAGGCAGATATCCTGGAAAGGTGTAACGGTCTTTTACAATATTGTAAGCTATGGAAGAATATACCGAATCAACGGTGAGACCCAATGCAATACAGGTTGACCAGTGTTCAGATATAATAAGCGCCTTGATAGATATCCATACAAGTGCCTATGATGATCGCGCAGTTATCAAGAAGCTACCAAATTAGAACAGGTTTGATCGTAGAACCGTTTTCCATATCATGGATTGCTTTCTCAAACTCCCCAACCTGTGATAGATTAGCCTTCTGAAAGTATGGCCATGTGCTGATCCACGATTTGACTTACGGGATAAAATTTAATAAGACGCTCTATCGGAAACTGGCCTTTCTGGAACCACCGAATCATGCGAGGGATGTACTGCCTCAAATGTCAGCTGCTGATCGACGCCTTCAATGGTTAGAGACCTACATCCTCAGGAAGCACACCACCTTCCATACTACCCATGAGCTGCTTGCCTGTCTATTGAGTGTGAGCCACGAAATGAGTACCTTGCTGCGAATAACTTACAACCATGAAGGGAACAACCGAGATCTCCAAGCCAGCCGTCATCGGTGCAACACCGAGAAGAACCATCTTGCCCTGGTTGGCGGTGAAGTCAAGACCTTGCTGGATCAAAGGCATCACGCCGGTTGCGTCAACAGTGATTGTACTTCCAGAACCACCTGTTATCCTGCGAACTTCATCACCGAGATTCGCGACTGATGATGTATCTATGCCGTGGGTTGCTCCCAGTCGCTTTGCCATCTCGATTCGCGCGGGGACTCGATCGATGCCGATGATGATTTTACAGCCTCTGAGTTTCGCACCCTGGTCCCATATTAGCTTTCTCATTATGATGAGTCGATGAGTCAAGATACCATAATGGCTGCCAGACCAACACCGCCCAAACCCATAATGGCAACCTTGTCATCCGGTTTTGCAGCTGCCAGTTCGGTAATAGTCCCTGAACCAGTCTATGAAACCAACATTAGCTTTCTTACAAAGACCTCACCGTCGCATAACCTTACTTGTATACCGCATCCCAAAGGTGCAAACAGTTTCAGATCCTCCGGGTGTGTAATCAAGTCGGTGACATTCACAAGAGACGTTTCTTGGACCCGCGTGAGCTTCGCAAAGCTCGACTGCCCAAAGAAAGAACCCCCGACCTTCTGAGAGCCAGGCTTCGAAATCTGGAAAGCCTCCCCAGAGCCGGAGAAGTTGAGGGCAGTGAATTCGTGACAGTAGCCAGGAGCACCGAATTTGCAGTTGTGGCATTGGGTGCAGAACGCAAAGGAGAGGAGAACGGCATCCCCAGGTTTGACCTTTGTGACCTTGGAGCCGACAGCCCGGACGTAACCAGCGCCTAATATGATTAGACATTATGGAAGATATGAGCAGGGTGTGCTTATAACTTACCTTCGTGACCCAAGACGCGTGGGTATAGAGGAACAGGAAATCCCGGAGTTCCATCAGGGTCAGTTCCGCAGCCCAGATCAGTATGGCAGACGCCTGAAGCAACCATTTCAACGATGGCCTCGTTTTCGCTGGGCGCTCGGAGCTGGAGCTGCTCAAGTCTCCAATTTCTCTTGCCATCTTGAGGGGCATGAGCCACGATGGCAGTGGTGGATTGAATGGAGTCCATTGCGCTGAATGGCGTTGCTACTGTGTTGGCAATGAGAATCTCAGGCAGTCTGATGGTAGCAGTGTGATATGATACACAAGTCAAGAACGAAAATTGTGTGCGCCAGACGATAAATTCGTGAGATGCATACAGAAAAAGTTAAGTATATTGCCCGTACAATATCGGCGGACCAGGGCCATGGCGGTCCGCCTTACCGAGCATACCAGAATTCACGAAATCCCACGCGGAGCAACCGTTCCTCCAGGATCTTAGCTGAACTTAGACCTGCACCCCCGCGCTTCCCCGCAAAGACCTTAATTGAGTTCATCAACAGCCGGGGCCCCGCATCGGAGCCCGGACCGCACTTGAGCCAAACATACAGATGTTAAAAGATTAATTCTCAACGGTATTCAACAACATCTTCCAACCTCATGCCAATCCAACAAACTATTCAAAGCATTCGATTAAAAGGTATAACTGAAAATGTCGACTGTTACGGTATTTCCCTCCGTTTCTCCTGCCAAGGAGTTAATTAATTGACGATTTGCTCTAGCTCTCCAAAATACTTCCTGCTACTAATGGTAGCCAGGAACATGTACTCACGGAGCTCCCGTCGCATATACCAACAAAGGCGAAGGAGGCGAATGGCTTCACCAAGTCTAACGGCCATGCAACCGCTGTTCATTCCACGCCCAATGTCGTTGATCACAAAAGTGACGCCGCTGGTGACTTCGGCTGGGGCCATTGGACAGTTCAGGGTACTATCTCATCAAGATGCATATGCCTGACATCTTACTAACATGTTATCAGACGTTCTCATCCCCGCAAATGCCGGTCGAGGTCTGGTCAAGAAATACCACCAGCGAAGGACTCTCTACCAGTACTTTGCTCTATCTCTCTCGGGCCTCTGGGCCTTTTACAATCTTGAGAGTACGTCTTACCGCGCAGCTGCACTGAGCTTCCTATTCCCCGGTGCAGGTTTCACTGCAGTCGCCACTCTTGCGTCGACAGCTGCGTTCCTGGCTACACTGGTCTTAATTCCCGTCACCATCTTCGTCTGGTTCGCCATGGGCGGCATCGCGTTCCCCATCGGTTTATGGGTAGGCTCCAGCATTGGAGCTGGGTACCTTGCCACAGACTCTCTGTTCGAGCCCTCTGCCATCCTATGGGCTATCTTCTGCTACACTGGAATCTTCTGGCTCATGAGTAACGCTCGCTCTCTCAATGCTGCTGGATACTCTAAAGCGCAGGAGCGCAATAAGTACCTTGTCCAAGCTGTCGAGGAGCAACTTGCCAACGCTACACCTGCACCTGCACCAGGTTCCCGTGAGCTCTCCCTCGACACACTCCGTCATGTTCAGCACATGCTCGAGCGAGGACTTAGTCCTCATGATGACTTTAGCTTCCACGATGTCATTGATCAGTTTCAGACCGGCGCTGTTAGATACCAGCTCTACGGTGTTGTCGATGTTCTCAGCTTGTACCAGTGCCATTATGCTCCTGGCTTCCATGGCTACCTCTCCAAGGCTTCTCAGAACTGCATCGAGAAGAGTCTCCAGAAACGAATCATGAGGTCAGTACTTCATCAAATACTAATTTCTGCAACGACATTCTGATGTTCATCTAGCTACTGGAAGTGGGAGTCAATCTTTGGCAGGTTTACCCTCAGCGATTGGGACCCCATCAAGAAGGACAATATTGTAAGTGCTGAGCCGTACAATGTTGAGCTGAGATGGCGTTGCTAACTGGATGTAGATGGTCACTGGATACCTCAGCTCCGCTATCGGTCTATATGAGCAAGCCTCTGGCGATCGCCGTTACCATCAGAAGAATGCCCTTGAGTTTGTTATCGACGATTGCAAACACTACAAGACCAACTTCGAGGGACTCGCTGATGCTCTACACGAGAACATGACCGATAACCCCTACTGCCTTTATCCCTGTGAGCCGAACTGGACTTACTCTCTTTGCAAGTAGGTCACAACCGTAAACCAACAACTGACTCTGAAGATGTATATGCTGATCATTTGTTTAGTCTCACTGGTATGGCTGGCCTAGTCATCTCTGATCGCATCCTGGGTCGCGATTGCGGAGAGAAACTTAGGAACCGCTTTGAACGTTCTCTCGAGGAGGAGTTCACCGAATGTGATGGTCGTATCCTCCCCATTCGCAGTGAATTTACAGGTCTCACAGTAAGCACATCACATCGTCGTCATTACGCTCCAGGCAACCAACTGACTGTGATCTAGCTTCCCGGTCTCTGCGGAACTCTCACCGACTGCATCAACGCCATGCTCCTCACCGCATACCTCCCCCACCTCGCCCATCGCAACTGGGCCATGATCCGAAAGGAATTCATCAAGTACGACAGCAAGGGCGAACTGGTAGTCAGAGACCTCAAGGGTGCCGACAAGATGGATCCCGGTAATTACCGCGCCGGCGAGGGTCCCCTCCGCGCATTCATCGCCGCAACAGCCGCCGAGTTTGGCGACGAGAAAGTCCGCAAGGAGGCCCTCGAACAGCTCGACAACGTCTACTTTCCCGTCGAAGCCACCAAGACAGGATCTCTTCGGAACAAGGGCCTTTCAGCCACTACTCAGGTGATTGCCCTCATGGCGCGTCTCGTTAAGCAACGTGACTTGGCCAATGCTACGCTTCATGGTCCTTCCAAAGAGGCTTTGAGTGGACCTGTCCTTGAGGAAGCGCCTTTCCCAGAGGTCCTAGTTGCCAAGGCATATAGCGAGGATGGAAAGAAGCTTGATTTGGTTGTGTATAACGGAAAGGAAGCAGGAGTCTTCAAGCTTGGGTTTGAGCGGTTGATTCCTGGTCAGCAGTACTCTGTCAGCACTGGAGGATCTGTCACTGCGAATGGAGCTGGCAAGGCGTTCATTGACGCCAAGATCAATGGAAGGACCCAGATCATTCTTCAACCAATCTAATCCTGATCGGTAGCTGCACCCTATCAGCCTTAGCTTCAAGTAGTTTTTAAATGAAATCTTTTTTTCTAGAGCCTATTCTATGTATGTACAACCATCCATACCAACCCCCAGTGGCTAGACAGACCGCGATCGAACTTAGAGTCCAATCTTGAAGCCACCTGGCCAATACTTCTGGAAGATCCGAGAAGGATCATACTTGCGAGAGATCTGAAGCAGCTTCTGCTTATTCTCCTCCCCATAGCCATCATAAACATTCTGAAACCCGGCGGCATCTCCCATGTAAGTGAAAGGATCATACAGACCAGCCTTCTGGGTAGCATTAGCAATTGCCCAAGTCGTGTCCTCAATCCACTTGAACACAGCTTCGTTATGCTCATCGCCACTCCACTCAACAACCTCTGCCCAAGCAATGTATGTGCCCTTCTTCTCAACGTCCAAACCTAAAGCATTGCCTCCGGGGTTGTACTTCTTTGAAGCTTTTGTCCAGAGAGAGCCGATGGGCTGCCAGTCAACCGAGATGAGCACGCGGTCCTCAGCGGGCAGAATCTTGTACAAGTCAGGAAGAGCGTTGAGGAAGCCATCGTTCACCATCTTTATGCCCTTAAGTAGCTCTTCATATGTTTTACCCGTAGTAGTACCGGCGATGAACTGGTTGTTGATCTTGGGTGTGACGAGTTGGCCGGTCTCATCTGAGAACTGAGCTAGAGTCTTTTTCTCGAACGTGTTGGAAATAGCTGGAAGGTCGAAAAATGGCCTGAAGCACTCCGGCTCCGGGTCTGAATCGCTGTCATAGAAGAGAATTGCACCACCGATAGTGGTCTTCTCATCAACTGCAATAACTTGAGGAACAATATGTGCAAGAGGGTCAGTATTGAAGGTCGAGAAATTTGCCACAGCCTGCATTCCTGTCAGTCATCATGAAGTAATTTCATTACAGTGTCGCATACCTTTAAGAACCCAGGTATATCAGTGACACTGTAAATACCAGCGTAAATCTGATCCGATGGGAAAGTGGCCAGTTTGAACTTCGTCACGATGCCAAAATTATTAGATCCGCCCTTCAGTGCCCAGAACAGGTCCGGATGAGACCTTGAGGTGACTGATATGACCTTGCCGCTGGACACCACGAGCTCATACTCGAGTACATTATCCGCAGCCCATCCTCGCTGGTTCCCATGGAAATTGATGCCTCCTGCAAGAAGCAGACCTGGTACTCCGACTGGAGAGAGACGGCCACCTGCGACTGCAAGCTTGCGCTCGCCTAGATAGCGATAAACCTGGCCCCAATCCAACCCAGGTCCAACCCAGACCGACTTTTTGTCTTTGGCCAATTCGAGGGTTGTCAAATTGGACATGACGAAGAGCGGGCCTCCATCGATATTGTTGGCACCTGCGATGGCCATGTGTCCGCCTCCACGTAGACCAAAGGATGTATTACCGGTACCCATCAGCTTGACTGCTTCAGCAACATGTTTTGCGCTGGTGGGACGGAAAACACAAGCTGGGTCTAGGATCTCATTGTTGGACCAGAACTTCTGCGACTCATACTCATAGACTGCGTCCTTGGGGTAAAAGGTCTTGTCGGGAAAGGCATGCTTCAGTGCATCGCAGCCAGACTCTGTCTTCTCTTCCGCGATGGCAGGGCAGGTTGCTAACGACAGCAAGCTGAGGATCGTGCTGGTCAGCATGACGAGCAGCATAGGATGATTGACAGTTGATAACAGGATGAAGGATAAAGCCCATTGAGGTTGACCGCTACAACTGAGATTTTTAATGGGATCGCCACGAGCTGGTTGCCGGATTAATTCGCGGACCTGCATGGCCCAGTATTTTAGCAACTGTGGGTGCATCGGTGTATTTACTCGAGATGGGAGGTGATGATCGCTAGACGACCCAGAAACATGGACGTGGAGTTTGGTGGAAGCCGCTGATTCGATGGCTTACGGGCCTAGTCGGCCTCCATAAATATTCAACCATACCCTGTCAGTGACCGATAGCGCTAACTGTTTATACTTTTAAGAATAGTACTATAGTAAGGTGTAAAAATTATTAGAAATATCAATTAATATATGTCCTTTTAAATTAATATAAATAGCTAATTTACAGACTTATTAAAAATGTAGAGAAAGCAAGCCTGCTATACTTATGAATTATGTCTTGGAGAAATCCTGACCTGAAAACCCTTTGGCTTTACAAACCAATAGTTGAACGTAGACCAGTCGGTCCCCTTTTGTGCTAAATCTCCATCAAGCTCATAGTTGAATTCCCGGACAATCTTAGGAATCAGCTTGGAGATCTCCAACATGGAGATGTGTCTGCCCAAGCATGTTCGAGACCCAAGACCAAACTAGGGGAAACGGAAAAACGGGGATTAGCAACGAATCTTAGTAAATAACAAGAGAAGCATTCTTACTGGTATCCAGTGACGGTTCATGACTGAAAGTTGTTCTTCATCGGTGGTGAGCCATCGTTCTGGCCTGTAAATATCTGCATCAAGGCCGTAAATAGACTGATTGCGATGTTGAACCCAGGTGTTGATTCCGACAATAGACTACCGACATCATATTAGCTTAAAGATCCTGTGATACAAGGCGTCAAGATACATACGCCGTCAGGGAAGAAATTTCCACTGATAGTGGCCCCTCCCTTGGGCACAACGCGCTCCAGGGGCAGGCCTGTAGCAGGATGAAGCCTCAATGACTCCTTGATGACCGCTTGCAAGTACGGCATCTGCTGAGTCTCTTGGAACGTCGGTTTCTCAGACAGTTTGCCCTCGATATAGTAGTGATCGATCTCTTGCTGCAGTGCAGCGAGGCAGGGAGGATGTTTGAGCAGATAATACAGGATGGCAGACAGCGTAATGCCAGTTGTGTCAGAGCCAGCAACCATATTGGCAACGCATCCCATGGTGACATTAGTGGACGTAAAGTTGTCAGGACTCTGCTCATGCTTCTCGAGGAATTTGAGAAGAAAAGGTTCTGCAGAAGTAGTTTTCTTCTCTGCCGGGACCGCCGTAGGGGTTTTCATGCTCTCAGCCACTCGGCTGCGCGTAAAGGAAATGACATATGCGCGACCTGTACCACTCGACCCAGCAAAATAATTCTTCATGGAGAAAAGAAAAGGATGCAGTTTGCTGTATATACCTACAGGTGCAGCATAGGAAAGAAATGCTTCAAGCGCTTCCATGACGCCACCAATGTCCTTACCGCTGTCGAGGAAGCCTAGCCGTTTACCATATGTAATAAGTCCGATAACGTCAAATGCATAGCACTGAAGCCAATGGCCCATATCCAGAGGCAATCCCGTTTGGGAAATCTCTGATAGACGTTGGACGAAGAGGTCTGCACATTCATCGACGTAAGGTTCGTACGAGATGAGAGACGACATGGAATAGTTGTTTTGGAAAAGTCGTCGATGATATGCGTGCCGTTTGGTATCTCGATCTGCGAAAAGGCTCACTTCCCCGGGAGCGACCCAGGCATCATACCATGATGACTTGGGAAAAGCCTTTTCCAGCCCGTATATGGCTTTTATTGCTGCTTGGTCGTTGATACTGTAGCGACGGAACCCGTATCGGACAACCGGTCCTTATAGTGCGTTTCGCGTCAGGGCAACCAACATCATGAAGCTGTCGCTATTTTACTAACCATGTTCTCTGTGCAAAGCAACATTATCCTTTTCAAAGTGACCTTTGTAGAGGCGCCAGAGGTACCATGCATCGGTAAAGCGAGCAAGAAACGGGCCGGGGATAGACCTGAGTGGAGAAAAGAAGTAACCATAGACCAAAGTAGCTATTTTCAGTAGACCAGAGGCTAAAATCAAGCCTAAGATCAAGTATAGCAAAGAAATGTCTGTCATGGCGAAAGCTGTCACTTGGAATTCCCAAAAGTGTCTCAGCACAAGACGGGGCCTTTCCTCAACTACCGAGTGTTGCATAGATTATATAGACAAATCCCAATCATTGCGGAAGCATATTTTTGATAATAATTGATGCATCGGATTTGCCGGGTTTCCCCTCCCCCGGCTTCGGCTCCTCCCATCCCCGTGCAGGCATAGACAGCGGGGACTAAATGATTCGCGGGGAAATGCAAACAATCTTGTTCTAGGTGGGATAGAAAGTTCGGAAGATCCGGCTTGGAAGTCTAATAGCAAATGCGATCTGGGGTTACTTGCCAAGTTCTCGGAATTTCCGAGCAGGACGTTTTTGTTTGAGATAAGTCTCGGCCATAATTGCTTCAGCTCCCGTCATCGTTCTTTATAGCCCGCTCTATGCGATCGGAGTCTTCGATGTCAAGCTTTTTTGTAAGACAAGGCTGCGTGTATTAGATTGTAAGTAATAATAAAATCAGTCTTGAGGGCCAGTCATTGGTTGTGGCATCCAGTGAATTGAGTCTTATTAGCTAGCTACCTGAGCTTAATCTAGGGTATCCACCCGCCCACTGTCATAATGTCCAGACCATTCGCCATTGAGAATATTGGCTACAGGGGATTACAATATATACACCATTATATCAGTTTCAATACCCATTATAATCTTCTTCTATCTGGACATAATTAATTGCAAGCCTGAGGCGCTCAATAATACGTTGGAAGAAGCGAATATGACATTTGAAGTGGTCTCGATGATTACCAAGATGGATAATTCGTTCAATGCAGGTGTATAGAATGGGAATCACGATCTGGAAAAAGGGCAACACGTATAAACAAGCCATAAAATTCAGCTGCATTTAATTTCCAACAAGAGACTTTTGCACTATAAACAGATAGTAATATCTACATATAGGTACTATACTAACCTGATATGCCGGCAGGAAGGCAGTAGGAATTATGTCCCCCGATCGCTCTGCTATCTTAATATTAATCGATATTAAGTGCTGGTAAAATTTTCTCTTGAATATAAATAAGAGGATGTTATTATTTAGGGTATACTGCTGAGGTCTATCCAAGCTGAATAAGATACGATAATCTTTGCATGTATTTAAAAAAAGATGTCATAGCGGGCCGCGCATCGCCATCTCCATACCCCTGGTTTCTTCAGCCGCTCCAGGGCCCTATTTCAATAGCGTGCACGAAAATCTGTTTAGCGGCCAAACTATCGATTTTCATGCAGGGGCTCACCAATCGCAGGGCCGTCATTAAAATGAGACCACCAAGCGAGTCAGCACCCTCACTGGAATGAGTCTAGTCAGCCAGCTGTGACAGACGGCCTCTGCGGAATTTACTGCTCGGGGACGTTATTTATCAACGCTTCCCCCAAGATTTAACATTACCGTTGAAGTTCTGTCATTGTCTCACCCACTCGCTCATTTACGGGTTTCTAGTCTCTCGTTAAAGATTGTTTCAACGCGTCAACGTCATGATGAACTCCAAGACACTCATTAGCGTGCTGGCTTGTCTCAGCGTCGGTGTTTCTGCCGGACCCTGCAAGCCAGTCACTTCTCAAGCTACTCAGGTCACTTCTGCAACGACTGAACTGTCTACGTCAATTGGCGTGACCACCACCATCTCTGCATCGGATATCGCTTCTACAACCGAGCTGAGCTCTCAGACAACTGAAGACTCTACTACTGAAATTGCAACGACAACTACCGCTGCTGATACTACCACGGAGGCCCCCACCACGACCACGGAGGAAGCAACAACAACAACAACTGGTGCAGCGCAATGTCCTACCCCATCTGCTTGTAACAATCTTGGCTTTGACTGGGCGTACTACAGCAACCCTGCTCAAAACACCGACACGACCTACTCCAGCTTCGTGCCCCAATCCTTCAAGCAGGTCAACCCCATTTATGTCGGCACGACTCGTGAAATCGGTGGTCTGTTCCAGTCCAGCAACGCCCAGTCAGGCGCCATCTACGGCTCGACACAAGATCTCGCTCTCGACTATTTCGCCCTTAACCATCACGGTTATCTCTACAGTTGCGATGCTGGTACCTACAAGTTCGATATTCCCTACGCCAACGACGCCGTATACCTGTGGATAGGTGCCAAGGCATACGCTGGTTGGAGCTCTGGTAATGCTGACGCCAAGGCTCTGTATAACCAGCCTGACCATATCGCTGGTAGCGCGCACTTTGAGATTGATCTTCCCGCTGGCGTATACATTCCCATTCGATTCGTCTATGGTCAGGCTCAGTATGGCGGTGGCTTCTCTTTCACGGTCACTGCCCCCAATGGACAGGTTCTTGTCGGTAATGATGTTACTGCCAGTCCATATGTTGTGCGAAACTCTTGCGATGGCATTCTGGCGCCTGTTTACCCGCCTTTTGGTCAGGAGATTTAAAGTTGAGGCATAGAGGAGTATGTGAAGGCATGGTTCATTCTGTTCGTGGCAATGGCTGCCGAAAGTTCAAATCGGCTTCATATAGAGATAATGTTAATTAAAGAACCTGACGCATGCCATCCTGGCAGAGTTTCACGGTGGAGTTTCGCGTGATAATATGTGTTTGTTGGTTTTGGGTTGTAGCTTGGATGGGTTTGTAGAGAGACATGTCGTGCACGTTGAGTTCATATGCCAGTCCTCGCAAAGAGTATCCATAGCTAGCTATAAATGAGAGTGCACCGAGTAATTTATTCATACTGGGATTCTTTAGTAACACACCATACGTACTGTTTGAGTCAGAGCATGTGGGTTGCTCATTGATTTTTGCAAATGTGACCCAAGAAAGCCCCGGATACCCGGATATCCGGTTGCTGATCCATCCGGCAAGGGGTGGCATTTATGAATTCACGGAAGGGGCCATAAGCTTGTGAGATGATATCTTCCTTTACCTTGAAGGGTATGTTGTTTGCGAATGGCCTAGTAGGTAGTGTATACACGATGCACAGAACTAAATCCTCTGCGGGTGCATTGGTCCCTGTGTGCTACGAGTGAATTAAACCGTTCCTCTCGACTCTTCTCTTTCTGGACGGATTGAACAATTATTTGAAGGGAAGAAACGGTGTGCGTTCAAACTCTTCGCATCATGTTCAATTAAATTTGATCACGACGAAATGAACCTTGAAGAGACCCATGATATTATCGTGCTTGAGTCTGAGTTAACAATGAGGCGAATGCGATATTTCTCAGCTATCGACACACCCTCCATTATAATCGGAATTCGATTGAACCAGACTTTATTCTATTCCCCTCATTCCTTGTTGTCAACACAGGTAGACATCACCATCCGCATAAGCCGCCAGTCTGTGTCAATCTCTCTTTCCTCGCAAATCTTCATCGTCTCTTCCTTGTGCGCTGTCCAATCAAATCCAGCCGCAAACACGTACAGCGTGAGCATGTCTTCAAATTCAGTGTAGGTGATCTGGGTGACCTCCAGGTTGTAGGCTCGCATGACGTCGTCGAATCTTGGTTCCTGGGTCGAACTCTCTGACTTGCGGGCGAAATGAAAAGCCATGCGACTTTCGCCTGGTTCTGGGTCTCGAACTGTGATAAGATTTAAGAGGCTGATGAAATCCATTGTGGAGTGTGATGCAGGAATTGCTTTGCTTGTATTGAGTTGAGTTGAGTGTGCTGAAGACGGATTGGATGAGTTGATGATCTGGGCTGGAGTGTACTGAGCGATGGATTATATGCTGCCTTCACACAACGCCATTGAGACTGATGTCTTATTCAATCACACTTTCGCGGCTAATGCATCTCATTCACACGCGGGGACCGTTAGTGACACGAAGGGCATGTTCTTCAGTGATTGCATCGCCCTGTGGTAAGCACTAACCATTCACGTCGACTTGTCGGAGAGATTCAATGATGTGATAGGTGGGTTCACTTCCGTGATTGACTCACCAGCGATGAGATTTGTCAGCGCTCATCCTCATCACAATACATATAATCACTGTACTTACGAGACAGCAGTGAATCTCCAATTATACTTGGCATCGAAGCACTGTTCCACGTAGAACACATTCACCATGCACGATATTCCAGAGTTTGAGCTGGATCGAGTTGGTGAGTACGATATCGGTTCTGATCTATGACTCATGTCCTAACTAATAATCGACAGCTCGCAGCTACGGTGTAAGAAACCAAGGAAGCAAACAAACGATATGATTACTGAGACTAATGTGTCTCTTCTGTAGCCAAGAGCAAAGATCGCATTGCATGGTACGCTGTCCCCCCTTTCGATCCAACATTCTGACAATATGTAGGATCAGCACCACATGCCCTCTCCCTCGACAACCTTCGAGATCTCTCCCCCACCAAACGAAGCCCGATCGACACCAACATCCCACTTTCCTATGCCCCATCCCTCGGATCAGTGGAGCTGCGCAAACGCCTTGCAGAGATCTATTCTACCGAAAGTGCACCGCTGACAGAAGACAATGTGATCATCACGCCTGGATCAATTATGGCCAACTACCTTGTGCTGAGCACGACATGCACCAAAGGCGACCATGTAATCTGCCAATTTCCGAACTATGGCCCTTTGTATCTCCTGCCCAAGTACTTTGGCGCCGAAGTGGAGTTTTGGGTTGGGAGAGAAGAGACTTCGTGGAATCTTGATATTGAGGAGCTTAGAGCACTCATTCGGCCCAATACCAAAGCCATTATCCTAACGTGAGTCTCAGTCGAAGATGTTGTAGGGACTGCTGACAGCGTTGAGAAATCCGTGTAACCCGACAGGAACAGTTCTCGGCCAGGAGATACTAGAGCAGATCCGAGATCTGGCCAAGAAGCACAACATTACAATTTTCGGCGATGAAGTCTTCCGTCCTCTCTTCCACGACGACACTCCGACCCCACCATCAGTTGTCTCTCTGGGATACAGTAACACCATCTCCACTGGATCCGTCTCCAAGGCCTACTCACTCCCGGGCATTCGCATAGGCTGGATAATTTCGCCAAACCAAGATATCCTACAACGCATCATAGCAGCTCGAGACTACACGACTCTCAACGTTTCGCGCATCGACGACGCCATCGCTCTATTCGCCTTATCCCCCGATGTCCTTCCTAAGATCATTGCACAGATTCTGGAAACACAAGGCAAGAACATTGAACAATATGATGAATTTGTGAAGAGGAACTCGGACAGATGCAGATGGGTTCGTCCGCGAGGTGGCGGAACAGCGTTTATACATTTCTCTGGGTCAAACGGAAAGTCGATTGATGAAGTTGCGTTTGCAGAAAAGCTAATCCAAGAGTTTGGCGTCGCTGTTATTCCAGCCAGCGCTGGCTTTAGTGAGGAGGGAGTTGCTGATTACAAGGGCTATCTCCGTCTGAGCTTGGGACAGAGAGTGGAAGCAGTCGCCGAAGGGCTCCGGGCGATTCAGTTGGCTATTCAAGACTTCTAGTTATTGACGGTATGGACTATCTAAACAAATGGTAGAATAACATGGCTAGCATGCTCCCCACCAATGTGAACCTCATGTTTCCCATGGTTATCCAAATGCTCCAAACTTCCAAAATTACTGACACCGATATTCCTCCCACAAACAACAGCTCTAATCGACTCGCCGGCCTCATATTCAATGCCCATGGCCCAAATGCCGATATCAAGTCTCACGACATCACCAGGCTTGATCTTCTCTACCTTTTCATGAGGGTGGAACGGCCAGTGCGGATGCATACTCTTGCTCTCATCGATCTCGCGATGCGATGCCCTGAGTACACCCATTGGACCGCGATACACAACAACTTCTATCTTTTCTTGGGGAGTCATTTCTTCGAAGGATTGCTTGGGGATGCCCTTCCACGGGATGTTGAGGTTCATCATGACTTCTCCGTTGGCGTCGAGTTTCTCAAGGGTCACGTACACGTCCATGTCGTCGTAGTCGGGGCAGGACATATATAGAACTGCCTTGGGGAGACCGACTAATCTTGTTGTTTGGTCGAAGCGGTATGTGAAGCTGACCTGATCATCGGTTTCAGAGTTATAGCTAAGTGTTGATGCCTCGATTGGCTGGTCGAGAGAAAGCTTGCTGTCGTGCGTAAAATACAGTTTCTTGTAATCTGTTCTCGGAATCGGGAAGTTCTCATCGACAATATTCTCGTACGACTGAGGTTCTTTCTTGCCAAATCGTAGAACAGCCGTGCGGACCTTTGGTACCTTGTCCCAGCCGTTGTCCTTGCCCTTGAGGAAGTAGTCAAAGAAATCAAGCAGCTCAGTCCTCGCTTGCTCATTACCCCAAATGTCATACCACTCTTGCCAAGGGTGAAAGCGGAGCCACTTGTGAGGTGTATCAACCTCGAGCCAGCCTCGAATAGCACCCATGCCGTGCATTGTGTTGGTCCATGTACCGGTGATGTAAGTGGGAACGTTGATCTTCTTCATATCTGGGCGTTTGTCGTTCCACCAGTCATTGGCAAGAGGATGTTGTTTGAACATTTCTCGGAAACTCTCAATTCCGCTGTGGCCTTGCATCATATACTTGACGATGAGTTTGTCGAATAAGTCGCCGGCGTAGATACCGCCACGAGCAAATTGCTCGCGATACAAGTCGCCGCAGCCTTCCCATGGAGCGATGGCTTTAAGACTAGGTGGGTTCAATGCTGCGATGAACCACTGTACGATAGCCAGATGCGAGTTTCCTGCTAGTCCAACAGAACCGTTGCACCAAGGGAGTTTTGCGATGCTCTCGATGGTATCGTATCCATCCTCAGCTTCTTGAGTTCCCATGATAACCAAGGTTCCCTCACTATCGCCTGAGCCGCGAGAGTCGATGTTAACAACAGCGTAACCGCGAGGAACCCAATCAGCAGGATCAGGCGCCTCAAACTTCTCAAGCCCAGAAAGGGTCTGCGATGGAATGCCCAGATTCCAAGGAACCATGAGCTCTAGAGATAAAATGCCGTTGAACTTCTTTCCGAAAGGTGACCAGCAGATAATAGCAGGAACAGGCTCATCCGTGTTTGGTGGGCGATATACATCAGCGTATAGTGTGACGCCATCGCGCATCTTGAACGCAACATCATGTTCAACGAGAACAGGTGAGGGTAATGGTCGTGCTTGGGGACTATCGTGTTTCCAACCCGCTGGGAGGACTTCTGAGTGAGGGTTCAGTCCAACGTAACCGCCATGGCCGACTTTGGGAGCACTGATAGGCTCAATTGGGACTGTGAAGGGGAGGTTTGTGAGAGGCATGGTGTTTGCGATGACAAGGATTCAGTTTGCGATTCTGTGACCTGAATTTTACCAGCATTTGCAAGCCTATTCATAGTCGATACTGGAGATGCCAAAGTGGATTCCGAGGTAGCGAACCGACCGGTGGACTTGTCGGCCCCACTGCACATGGCGCGGCTCGGAGTCTGGTTGCGGGGAGAGTCAGAATTGCCGGGGATACCGAGCCGAAGCGACGTTTACACTTCGGAATCAGCCATGACAGCTTTAGTAGGAGGCAAAAATACCTGTTGAAGAGAACAATAAGAAGAGCAGATTGAACTTTCTCAGACAAACCATCAGGCAGCTCACATTACAAAGACCAGACTTGAGATTCATAATAGTATTCACATTACATCTCTATTATTACCAAAATGGTCGCCAACACCGAACCCGCTAGTTACCAAGCCGCTTCCACTTTGAAGTTCGCCGAGCCCACTTCTAACAAGCCCATCCAAGCCAAGCCCTCTGGCCCAAACAAGCTCTTCGCCAACCCAGGCACTACCTTTGGCGACTGGCGAGACGACCTCTACCGAGATGGTTTCGCCGTCATCAAGGGAGCCATTCCTCTGGAAAGAGCTGAGAAGTACGGTGATGAGATGCTCTCATACCTCGAGACCTTGTAAGTCCCCCAACACAGCTTAGTCACTTGAAGACAAACCATACTAACAGAGATCAGCAATGGCGGCATGGGCTTCAAGCGCGACGACCCCAGCACCATCAAGACAGAAACCCTCCCCGTCATCACCGAAAAGGGCATGATCACAGGCTACGGCGTCGCCCACGAATCCTTCGCCTGGGCCATCCGCCAAGAACCCGGCGTCATCGAAGCCTTCGAGCGCGTCTACGATACCAAAGACCTTATTGTCTCTTTCGACGCCGTCAACACCTCTTTCCCCAACCGCAAAGACGTCAAGGTCAACAAGCCCTGGCCCCATCAAGACCAAGACCCCGAGAACCCCGGGTTCCGCTGTCTCCAGGGCCTAGTCAACATCTTCCCCAACGGTGATAGAGACGGTGGCCTGATCGTTTGCAAAGGCGCCCATCTCCTAAGCGAAGAGTTCCACAAGGATTTTAAGGATGAGCCGAACAAGATCTGGGCCTGGACACACGAATGGTATGGCTTTACAGCTGATGGTATGGAGTGGTTGAAGAACAAGGGCTGCGAATGGGAAAAGGTGAATGCGGGACCTGGAGATCTTATCGTCTGGGACTCTCGCACTCCTCATTACAATGTTAGTCCTGAGGGTACGCAGCCCAGGTTCTGCACTTATACGTGCTACATGCCTGCTGCAGATGCTACGCAGGAGGATTTGAAGAGGAAGAAGGCTGCGTTTGAGAACCTGCAGGGAACCACCCAT